TCACTGAGACGTGACGCCGGAAACATGCTGATCGTAATAAAAAATTCATCTCTTTAGTTTTTCGGCGTGGCCCACCTATAAATGCGTCATAAGAGGCTGCAGATAAAAACCAGATGATATAATACGACAAAATGAATATGTTTTTGTACTTGAGACTAACGTAACTAAATTATGTTTTACTCAAGTGTGGGAAAACGTTGAAGGCGGCCAATTTAGAATTTGTTAATTTTTTGGCATAAGCGTTTAGCTGGTGGTGGGGGGAAGCCCAATGGCTGGGCAATATTTGTGCAAGAGATTGACGAAAGAGCCGAGTCACAGAGCAGGCAAAGCCAAGCCAAAGTCAAAGTTAAATAAAAATAACAGAAATCAAAACATCGACAAATGCCCACAAACAAAAAAACAAGACTAAAAATGCTGTGTATAGCGTATGGCAACAACAAAATGCTGCAGGGAGAAAGACTTTCACCTTTGCGATGAATGATCAACGCAAGAAAGAAAGAAAAAAGAAGAAGAGTCGCAGCATCAGAGGCAGATAGAAGCGACGGCCTTCGAGCTGCCATGGACCCGAACTGGAGGCTTAAACGACTACAAAAACAAGTGCCAGACGATGACGACGACGGCGATCATCATCGATGCTGATGATGATGAAGAAGAAGAAGACGCTGCAACAGCAACAGCAGCAGCAGACTAAACGTTTGCGTCAATAAACCTTTGACTCAATGAGAGTTACGCGTCGCGCTTATCACTCGAAGCGCTCAATGGGAATTACTATTATTATTTTGTTTGTTTAGCTTGGATCAACGATCGTTGGATCGTGGTTCGTGGAGGCAACTTTTACTTTTCATTTCAGAATGAAGATTTTCTACACGCACACACACACACACATATGTGTGGTAGAAGTCAGAGTGGGCTTATACTTAGAATTTTCGCTTTCTCGTCTTTTTCTCAGCGTATCAAACCCCCACGCAAAGCACTTGTCAAGTGCTTCACATCGTGGAAAAAGTGAAAATCATTCATGATCTTCACAGTCTGTCAGCGATTTGATGTTGAGCTGCAATTGGTACAGCTGCGCCCCAGCCTCCATTAGTCTTTAACAAACTGTATGCCATTAATAAAGTCCACATTTGATTCACATTATCTCCTGCAGATAGCAACAAAAGCAAGGCGCACGTGCGGCGGCTATTACACAAATGCTCATTTAATAGATGCCCAAACATCAGGCACATCCATAATTCGGATATTACATAACTCATGCAACTAGAAAACAAAAAACGAAAAAGAAGAAGGAGAAGGGGAAGCAGAAGAAAGGCAACAACAAAATAAACAAGGTTTGCAAACAAAATTAAATTAACAAATTGTTGCCCCCAAGGTATTTGCAAATGGTGTCAAAACGTTGTAAGGCATCACAAGAGACACAACAATCTGACGGAGGGCAGCCGCTGAGGTAGCTATAACTTAATCAAAAATTAAAATAAAAAAAAGTTACATTTAATCAGCTGTAAATTTTATACAGGTGGAACAGCTCATGGATTGGCAGCTATCACATAAGCAGCTCAACTGGTAAGATTTCTGCTAATTGATGGGTGAATGGAATAAATA